TCAGTCCTATATTCTTCATTCTTTTTTCACATTTATAGGCTTCTGTGTTATATTGATTCCTTGACTTTAAAAGTAGGGGGTTTGATTTTTTTTTCAGAAGCAAGAATGCCGTAAACAGATTGTGATGGTAATACAACTTAGCATCTAAACTGTGTAAGGAAGCAATGGAATATATTTTTAACTCACTTGACATAATTGGTCCATTTTCCTGCATAAAACCTGAATAAATTCTGAAACAGACTGGCTAACTAGTAGGGCTGGGATAACTAGCTTATCAAATATTTTAAACTTAGTAATTTAAACATGGTGGACATCTACCTAACATTCACTAATAAACTAATGTAGTTGCCAATAATTCTGGTTTTATCATAAATGCTCAGTTTTGTACTCAGTCCCAGATGCTTGCAGTTCCTACCAAAATTTTTCTTTTCTTATAAGGTTTGTATTTCTGCCTGCTGTCCCCACCTCCGTTAAGTGTAGGCAGTTATGTGGGCAGAGAGAGCATGAAGTCACCTAGTTAAATTCCATGATTTTATTTTTGATATGAATTAGGAGACGTTTTGTGGTTTATTTTGGTTTTTAATAATACAAGTGTAACAAATGAAATAATTCTCCGATAGGAAGCATTTCTACTATTTTCGGTGATGAAAAATTTCTTTGCTATTCTAACCTATTCTTACAGTTTGGAGAAGGAATTAAGTTTCATTACCTTTATTCTGGGGAAAGACTTCCCTCTATTTTGAAATTTTGTGTCCATTAAGCCCTTTTTAAGGGTATTCTCTCTTATTACTTTTTTTCAGTAGTTAATGTTTCCAGGTGCTCATATACATTTTTAAGTTATACTACAGTTCTAAACTATTTTTATTTTGAAGGTGCATTCTAAAAGAGGATTATTGTATTACTTTAAGATGTAATTGTCAAGAAGAACCACACAATTTTAATCAACAACGTGAATTATTCTCCATAAGTAGCCTCTGCTTTTCTATACTCTCCAAGGGCAAGTCTTTGACTTGATGATATGAGGTTTTTTTCAACCTGAATGACTCTGTGATTCTTGGAAATTTACCTTTTCTTTTTTTTTTTTTTTCTCTCCAAGAGATGACTTGCAGATTTCAAATCTGAAGCCTTTCCCTTTTAAGATGTTCCAAAAATGGGACCTATTTGTTGATTGTTCTGTAGTAGCCTGCCCCCATAATTGATCAGGTGACATATTTGCTTGTGAGATGATTCAATTAAGAAATCCAAGGAAGCTCCACTTCAAGGGAAACTTTAGCTTGGGAAGTTGTGTGCAACTCACGTTCACACAGAATGCTTTGCTGATTTTATCTTTGTTTTTAAAGCAGTTTCAGCTTGAGTAGACCACTTTAGTACCTTCCATTGTACAGGTTGAGCTTTCTGTCAAAATGTAAACAATTAAAAAAGCCAAGCTTTTTTCTTTTTTTTATTTTTTCTGAAAAAGAAGTCAATAAATGTAAAGGGTATAATAAAAGAGCTGCAAAAGCCTATTCTAATGAAGTGGTAACTTGGCCAAGCATTCCAAATAAATAGGGTAAATTGTGTATTGACAGCATATTTTTAGCTAATACTGTCAACAAATTGATCAATACGACTTTGAGAAGTAACTCACAAGGCAACAACTTGGGAGTAAATTTTGCTGAATTTAGTAAATTTAATTGAACTTCCTAAATTCTACTGAATCATAAGTAGCGGTGTGGCATAGTGACATTGAGCTGCTATGGGCTTAGCTTTGCCTTTTTAAAGTTGATGCACTTTAAACCAGTAGAGGTATTAAGCTCACAACAGTTTGACACATATCTTACTCAGCAGGTCATCTGATTGTACTACTGAGTTCAGATGTAACTGTAAGATTTGCTCTGTAGTAAGAGCTGCAAAAGAGAAGTTGTTTGAAGTGGTCTTAAATACATACCTTTTAAATAAACTCCTCATGTTGAGCATGTAAATAACAGTATAGAATTACAGACTAAATGTTCAGAGTTTGTGAGCTAACAGACAGTGGAAATTCACTGTTCAGTTGAAGAGATAGCAAATACAACATTTTCTAAAAGAGAAAATGCTTCCTTTCATTCACGCCAAGGTGGAAAAAATTTGGAGCATTGTTTCACATGTATCTTATGCATCAGAAGATATTTTGTTCAATCTTCTTTGAAACAAGTTTATTTAGACTGAGATAACATTTGCAAAGCACCCCAGAAATAGGAAGATGTGAGTTTCTCATCTCAGGGACATATGATATGTGGCCTTAATGTAGTAAGCACCAATCAAAAGAGAATAGATTTTTTATAATCATCCAGAATATTTTCTTAAGTTGCAAAAATATGAAACAAATATACTTAAGGATTTTTTTTTAAAATCAATGGTATCATCAACAGTTAGATTTAAAGCATATGGAAAAAATAGTTAAGAGCTATATCCTTGTGAAGAGGATTAAAGGTTTGTGGTTTTTTGGTAACAACTTCTGGAGGAAATATTGTATAGAATGCAAAGCTGAGGTAATCTTAAAACACTTTCTATGTATAAACTGGTATAAGCTTTTACAGTTAAACTGTTAGGTAGGAGAAAAAACAAACCAAGGAAAGCCTCTGACTGATGGTGGTGTTTATATTGCTAGAAGCTGATATTTTGAATTCAGTAGAATGATCTGTCCATACTTACCTTAATCCTCAGAAACAAATCACTCTGAACAGATAGTGAATGCAATGAGGGTCTGGGAGGAGCAGGGATTCAGTCTTTGCTTACATAAGGTAAGACAGCAACTGCAGCACAGATTTAAATAAAACCATGGGATGAGGAGTGCAGAAGTTGGGGAATCATCTGATGCCTTCAGAAGATGGCTTGAGATGTCTGTGTTTTGTTACCAGTGATCATGAGTGATCTTGGCATACTGAATTAATGGAAAGTCAGCCTGCGGTTGGGCCTGGGAGAACCCTTTCCCTGACAGTCCTCAAGGGAGTGATGGCACAGTTGTGTAAACTTAACATCAGGGAGGACTAAACAAAAGGAAATTGCTGAATTTCTATTGATTTCAACAAAATTAGGCTGATTTATCCCAGTCAGGAAGGACTGATAAGGATATATTCTTTACTTCACCTTCTGTTATGTTTTCCTTATGTCAGTAAGATGGTCTGAATCACTGTTCTATTTTACAAATTAACACATACTTTACATTTGTGATTCTGCACAAATCCCCTGAATTGCCAAAAGGCTTCGACCTTTCAGATAGATAAAGCAGTTTTAAGAATTTACTGGAGCAAACGAACAGTGTTTCTTTTCATTTTGTTTGAAGGCACTATTTCTTCCAATTTTACAAATACATAGCTAATAACACCTCCTGAACCATATCTTCAGTAAAGTGTAAACAATTTTCCAGAGTTTGAATGGCTTTGTGATTAAAAAAATAGTCTTTTATAGAGTACACATGGATATAATATTATTGTCTCTGCAAACTAAATGCAGTAAGAAAGAACTTTGTTTTGTTCCTTTAATTCTTATTCTCTCATTCTTAGACATAGGCTTCCCTGCACTAGTCTCACAGAGACGACAGTTAGCATATGGTGGGCTACAATATCATCTACCAGCATTAACCTATGACCAGACTCTGTTAAAACTAATGAACACCAGTAGGGGCTCTATTTTATAGTGCACTTTCCCCAAACTTAAACATAGAGAACTTCCTCCTATATTTTTACTTTAACTACTGAAATGATAAAAAGAAAACATAAAATGAATTAAAGAAATTTGTTGAAGCTCCATGCTGATTTTAGCTTGCTCTGTATTCATATGTGGAGAAGTATTAGAAATCTTCTGTTTTCTTTGGCTGGTGATAAAGTCAAACATATTCAAGTCTTTCTCAATTGGCATTTTAAAAAATGTCTTTATCCTTTGCAGTTTGTGTGGAAATGGCCAAATTCTCCCTACTTCACTGTCAAAAACAGTGCTTTTGTCTTTTTATTAAGATTATATATGTAAATGAGAGAAGCAGAGTTTTGTCCAAAGGGACCAACAGCTATAGCAGATTGGAAACAGTTAGAGTAATTCATAGTTTTAAAGTTAGCACATGCACATGCCATATCTTTTTACCTTATTCCTGTCTGCTATTCATTTAGGTGTTTTGTGATGTAACTGTATGCAGAGTAAAGGTTCTGCATATTTTTGCATCTTGCCTGTACATTCGGATTTGTCATAACAAAAATAAAATCAGAATTTGTATCTAATATTTTCACAGGAGCTTATAAACCACATTTTGCAGCACTTCCTGATCAGTTGTAAGGAGACTTGTGGTTGTGAAAAGGCTGCAGGATTTGGCCCATGAACTAATTCCTCTGTAAATTAGTGCATATGTTGTTATTTATTTGGAAAACAAAGCTTCCCTTGAAATGCATTTTAAGGTCACCTAATTATCAGGCAAATACCAATTTGGAGCCCTGAAAGACTCCCCTCTTCTTAATCAATTAATCTTGTTTTAACTGAGTCCCTTCAATTTTGCTTGCTGTAAGTCAGTTCAAATGCCAAAAAAAGAAGAAAAAAAAAAAAAAAAAAAGAGAAAAAGACCAGTGTATGATAACCTTTTCCCCCTATAAATGAAACAAGTAATCAAAAATACTATTTTGGAGTCAGCTGAGAATACCTACCCATGCAGCATACTTTTCAAGCAGCTGCTGAACAGAGCAGAGACCAAAAGCCAGCTGCATTTGGCTTCTGTGGACTCCAAACGTGTTTTTTATTTGGAGCTGTAACACGTGATTTTTGTTTGTTTGTATGTTTTGCTTTTCATTTTACAGCTAACTTCTAACTTTACAGCTAACTTCTAGAAAGAATTCTTGCAACTTCTTAACTTCCCATTTACGGCACAGATGGCTTTCCTCACCCCACTGGATTGTTCTGCCTTCCCCTAAGGCACAGCAATCACCTTTGACACCAACAACAGTAGGTAATGCAGCAGAAGTTATGACAAAATCCGAGTTTTAGAGGGACGTCTTTACCTGTTGCTTTTGCAGTTCATGCTGATGCTAGATGTGCAGCTAAAGCTTTTTGCTCCCTCCTCATTTACTCATTCCTCTGCTGACAAGGGCCGGCGTGGAAAGTGATGGGTTTCCATGGAGCTGCGTGGTGGGGGCAAAAGGAGCTTAGAATCAAATTACACGAGACTAGGCAAAAGCGGTCAGTGTCTGCTGCCCCCTGAATTTAGGCAAAGGCTCCGCTGAGCGCCTTGCTGGAGACGGGCATGAGGGGAACCCTTCCTGCCGCCGGGCCGCACGCGGTGCGCGCCCCTCACGGGCGGGGTGCGAAGCGCCGTC